AGATCTAAATCGAAATGATATCAGAAGCGAAGGTTTTCTACATTTGGCTGATCTAATACGAAATAACATAGTAATTCTTGTTGTTCTTTATCTTCCCTGTGTCTACTTTCAATTTTATATATGTAGCCACTGACCACACTGAATCTGGAAAAAAATCAAATCGGACACCAAGGAATGCAATATCTGGCTGATGCACTATGCACAAATACCGTAATAACTTGTCTTTTCTCATCTGATTCATACATAATTCATTTTTTCTTATAGACTCTCACTGCATTAAGTATCGGCGGAAATTCTATTGGCCCGGAAGGGGTACAACATCTAGATGGCGCCTTACAAAATAACAAAGTGATCTCTTTCTTCCAGAATTTTTCTTCTTTTCAATCTTGACTTTTGCTTTCTACACACTCACTAAGCTTCATATTGGCGGAAATCATATCGGACTTCACGGAATACAATGTCTAGTGAATGCATTAGAAAAAAATACAGTTGGTTTTGTTCTCTATTAGTACCATCTACATTTGTATTTGGGTCTTCATAGACACTGACAATTCTCGAGCTTCAAGATAATCAAATTGGAGATGAAGGGATAGAATATTTTTGTAATTCGTTAAAAAACACTCTAGTAACGTTGTTTTCTACTCATCTTTTTGATGTCTCATCGTCATAATTTTGATGTGTAGACATTGACTTCACTCGATCTTAGCAGTAATCAAATTGAAGGCTTGAAAATAATTCGGTAACTCCTATTCATTCTCTTCGTATCAATAATATCTATTTCCAACTGTTCATATAGATACTGGCTACACTCAGTTTGAGGGATAACGAACTGAGAAGTAAAGGTATTGAATATTTGGCATATGCATTAAAAACGAACATGGTCAGTTTTCTTCTTCTCCTTCTTCGTTTCTTTTTAACATCCATGTTCACTTAGACACTTACTACACTCAATTTACGATTCAATTATATTGATGATGATGGAACAGAAACTTTAAGAACTAACAAAGCATTTCGTTTTGTTTTCTTGCTAATCTCTCGTCTATGAAATTCATCCGCTCAGACACTAACCACTCTCAATCTTTCAAACAATCAAATCACATGTATCGGATCACGATATCTGGCTGATGCATTACAAAAAAACATAGTGACTGTTTTCTCTTGAAAGTGCTTTTTTAAATTTTTTCTCAACTAGGCATTAACTATATTCGATATCGCAGGCAATCAAATCGGAATGATGGGAGCAAAACATCTAACCAATGTGTTACAAACAAACTCGGTACCAATAACCAACTTTTGACATATCTCATATACATCTTAATTTTTCTGCTCAGACACTTCTGACACTCAATCTATGGGGCAATCGAATTAAAGACAAAGGAGCTGGATATTTGGCTTCTGTATTAGAAACTAATAAGGTAATTTACATTCTAATTTCACTTGATATAGCTTGTATTTCTTGTCATTGCTCGTTTTCTAGACACTGACTACATTGGATATTGGATCGAATCATATTCGGAGACGATGGTGTAGAATATTTGGCTCATGCATTAAAAACTAATAGGATCAGTTGGTTGTCTCATTATGTCTTAATTTTTAATGCATCTTTCTATAGACACTCAGTACACTGAACCTTCAACATAATTCTGTAACTACCAGTTTGATTCAATGTATCAATGAATTGATCAAGAAAAACCTTAGTGATGACTCATGAGGAAAGACCATTTTTTGTGTAAAATGAAAATGTAAACGGTATGAAAATGAATAATAAAAGGAGACATATACGCATATTTCTATAAGCAAGGGTATCTTCATCAGTGACTTCTAATTTTCGATTTTAACTTATAAGACTACATTGCTAATTCTTTTTAGCAAGTAAAAAATATAATATACAAAACTTTTATAATTGTACGGTTTGATTATGTTCATCTTCTCTTATTATTTTAATGCAAATCATTTTCAAAAAGAATACTATTCAACTGTTTTTCAATGAATTTTTGCCATTTTATTATTTTTCTCTGTTCAAGTCGACAAAAATATTGGTCACTGATTCTCCTTTATGATCTTTAAATGGACATGATAAACCATCATCTTTCTTCTTCCATACCCAAAGTGCTGGATCGACAATCTTCATTTCTTTTCCATTCAACTTTTTAACATAGATATTATGCATTACTGGATGCGTCGTTGGTACAAATGCATATTGAAATCCTCGTACATCTCGTGCATAATCGAATGCATATCTATGTAATTGCGTAGCTAAATTTTTACTTGCATGTTTATGTTGTGTTGCAACACCGGAAACACTTAAAACCATATTCAGTTTCAATTCTTGGCCCAAATCATGCTGAACAAATTAATTAATCATTCCCATAAATAAGTCTGTCATAGGATAATAAAATGCAGGGCTAAATGCATCGTATGGATGCTTTTCGCAATAAACGGTGTGGGTGTTGGATGTGCGTGGAGGGTACTTGTTCCTGTTATCCACACCCACACCCACACCCACATTCGTAATGTTCACATGCGATTCACTCATCAATATTGAATGTTGTAAATTACACTGACGTTTTTCTTTCATCAAATACATGGATATCTTATTATTCAACATAATTTTCGTTTATTTTAGTAAAAAGAAGAAGAAATATAAGCATCATCTTCTTTTAGCGAAGAAAAATACTCTTGAAAACACTTCGAAGATCTCCATTCAGCCCATACAAGTAAATTGTCGACTTTGGTACAATTCATTCGAGTATCTTCTCTTGTAAAATGTTTCGTTACTCTTAACAAAGTATCATCAACAACACGAAGACGAACATTCTTACGAAAACATGCTTGTCTATCACATAGAAATTCTTCAATATAATCATCATGAGCCCATTGAACGTCTAGTTCGATAAGACGAGAATATTCAACGATTGATAAGTGTCAGTTATCATCCGTTGATTTATAAGATTGTTTGTATTGTTGTCGTTTGGCATTATTTAAAACTAATTTTTGTATTAATGGAAATGATTGAGCTATTCGAAGAAAAAATTCATGTTCAAAAGGATATTCATCATACAAGGATACAAGACGAACATGTGGATAATATCCACTTGCAGATTATCTGTGTCGAAGAATGAATTTAATTATGTGAAAGCAAACAACGATTATTAACGATAAAAAATGAAACTCATATGAATGTTTTGGTCTGATTATGCTGATAGTGAATATGTAATGAGTAGCACCTCTGGCAGATCATAGCTACTTTCTAAAGATTGTTATTAGATGTCCATTAATTCTATCGGGTATTTTCCTTTTCTCTTCACTTACCAAAATCAGTATCTGTTGAAGTTCAGAAATGCTTATATTATGTGTTCCACAGTCTCATAACTTGATTGATTCATACTTTTGTCTATTGCTCACATGTTGACTGTGTTAATTTTCGTTATCATGAAAACGGCAGCAAGTGATTTTGATTTCAATTGCTAGAATCAGGATATGAGTGTCTCAAAAATATCGATATAAACTAATTCTCATAATTTTTTCCGAAAATGAGTGCAAAACTTATTATCTATGAACATTTTGTTCGAAAAGATAAAAAATTAAAGAAGATGCTATTTCTTTCAATCTTACAGTACTCGTTTCTATAAGATTATTTAAACTTATAACAAAAACAAACTGAGCTTACTGCATGACGATTTGTTTACACGAATGAGACTAAAAATAACATCAGCTGTTTGAAGATCTTCTGCTACTTGAACGAATGTATAAGTTTGATGCAAATCTCGATCGTCGAGATTGAGCACCGTTGCTAAGCTATAAACATATTGATTAGTATCGGGATATCGTTCAATGCATTGTATTGGCTTATCGTAAGGCGCAGCAGCAATCCCGTATGCCTTAAGATTATTGATTACAATAATAGCATCTTGATAGTTTCCTGAGAACCGAACGCCATGAGCACTATCATCGAGCCATTCATAACTAATTTGACATTCAATAGAGTCGGCTAACAGAAACCGTATGAAAGTAATCCATTGAATATTAATTATGAAGTGCCTTTCATGAATGGATTCACATAAATATTTTACCAAATATCTCAATGAACAATTATGAAAGCAACTCATTGTCAATTAACGTGATGAAACAAATTTGCTTTTTTTTCTATTACTGAGATCAAATATTTCTTCTTTTATGTTTTGTTCTAACTCTTCTGATAACATATACTTGCCCATGTCGAATAACTACCAGGACTTGGTTTGACACTTGAGAACAAACACAAGTTTTTGTCGACCCACATGATAATTCTCTAGGAGCGAATTGCTTTTAGTTTTGATCAGGATGAATGATGCCTAAATGAGATATAAGAACTTTTTTTTATTTTAAACAGAATCGTATTGACAATAAACATCTTCGTTTGAATGTAAATGTGACTGCCACTGGTTTTCACGTCGCCAAACATTATGTTTCCCAATATTTATCCGATTCTACACATTTCAGTGGCTATTCAGTACAATTCTATAGATTTTATTCTGGAAAGATCAGTTGTTTTCGAACGTTTCAAGCGCTTCTGTCAATTAACTTAAATATCTACTGTGAAAATATTTTTCCACCTTTTTTGCACCACAATAAAATATTCAAATTGCTATCTAACTGTATGAGAAGGAAAAAAGATATCTAGATGTTAGAGAGCAGATTAATTGAACGAAATGAGTGGTTTAGTCAGGCAAGAATTCGTGAATTTAAGAAAATATTTTTACTTTTTCATCTATTTGATTTTAAGCATGGAAAAAAGCATAATTCACATATTGAACTTGTTCATTTAATCCCCGAAGCAACAAAAATGCTCGAACGACTAAAAGTTGGCTTGAGTTCACCTCGATTCAAATAAATAATCATGGCCAGTGTGAAAAATAAGTAAATTAGTACAGTATCTTGTGAGTTTAATTGGTCGGAACTGTGGTAGGAAACTGTAAAGTCTTTCTTTCAAAGTCGCAATCAAGACTTTTTGAGATACTATATGCAAGATCTAAAAAACTGATAGACGAAATACTGAGAACGAGCGCGTGTATCGATCGATATTCAAGAACTACACAATCAGCTGCTATGCAATTCAAGCTCACTATTGTCTGATTGTCAATGTCTCCAACAGTGCCGTGCATTACACGAGTTATTTAAGCATAGCAAACTCGAAAATCAGTGAAATCCGAATAGCAGGTAACAAAAGGGAATTTTACATGTTGACTAGATGTCGCTCACGGTCATTTTCAAGTATGATACAATTCGCTACAATTACATGACCAATCTTGATGTTGACGATTTAAATGCATAGAAAACTACAAGGCATTCGTCGCATTTATATTGTACTATTACTTTCATAATTAAAAATGTTGGCAAAACTTCTCAGTTCGTCTGCTCCGTATCATCTTCTTTCATATGCTTCTGTAACAGGTATTACTCTTTGGCATTCTTTCATTGGTGGTCCAGTTGCTTTCAAAACTTTGCCCCGTCAGCAATTTGGTCTACTCCAAAGCAAACTTTTCCCTATATACTTTTCATTGCAAACTGTCCTTAACGGCATATGTCTGTTGACAACATCGAATCGCAATGGTCGTATCATATTCATTATTGGTCTCGTATGTGGACTACTGAATTTAGCGATTGTAGGACCTTGGACGACAAAGTAGGTTGAACAAAAAGTCGTTTTGCGTTTTTGGATAATTCATTTTGTTTTCTTTTATTTGAACAGGATTATGAATGAAAGACACAAAGTTGAGAAAGAAGAAGGAAAACAATACAACGAACCTGGTATTAGTGATCGATTGAAAGCGTTAAACAAGCGATTTGGCATGGCTCATGGATGTAGTTCAATTATCAATGTGGCAATTGTGCTCTCGCTTCTTGCATACCCATTCGTTTCATCTGAAATCAAATTTTAGACTAACAGTTATGCTTCTTTTTTGATTTTGATGTGTCAAAGAATCATAATTCTTTTTTAAAGCTAATTCGAAACTTTAATTGCACTGATTTGTTAAAACATTTGATAATCAATTATAACTAAATTGCTGGAGACTAAAAATTATTGATGACACTTTGACAGGCACGGCAAAAATGCAAAAGAGAAAAATCTGAATATGTATTCTCTATTTTGTTCTTAATGAAAGTTATAACCTCAGACGTTATGATTGGTCTTTATGATTCGTAGGTCACTCATGTCTTTTTTATGGTATTAATAATGGAGAGACTGAAAGAAAAAAAAAGAACGAATGCAGCTTTTTACCTGTTCGGTACTTGTATGCTTATTATCACAGTGTAGATCTTGTTTGAAGGGTCAATATCGCTGGTAAATCATTAATAAAGAGTTCATAGAGAACATAAACAAGACTACTTCATCATTACTGAAATTTACAAAAAATCTATTGGTTTTTTTCTAACTGTTTCATACTAAAATATTTTAAAATATATATCACCATTCGCGCTGAGTGTCTATTATTGAATCACGTAGACATAGAGCTATGATCTGAGAACGATCGAGTTTGTTGTAAATGTCTTCTTTTTGTCGTTTATGAGTACAGCCGGAATTGATTTCGAGACAGGTAGGGAACCTAGCTGCAGTTAAAAATAACATCTACACTTCAGAACAGCGGCCAGAAATGCAGGTTTCGTAAGTAAAAAATGAAATCATTTTTATATTTTATTGAAGACCATACAATTTTTTAATTTCCCTCTTCTTGACAATAATAAAATATAAAAATAGAATTTCTCTGTTATAGCCAAGTGATTAACTGTATTAGGAGAGATCGTTGATTTCCAATGTAGAAATTTCCTGACGCAATCTTTTTTTTGTTGATTTAGCGGTGAAAGTTACAATCTGGAAAATCGTTACATAATTTTAAAAATATTACCTTCTATCATGCCGAATAAATTAGTGCGAGTTCTTTGTTAGCATGAAAAAATCTCGATCTTTTATTTTTTGTTTTGGCGATTTCCTTATATTAGATATTTTAACCTCGGATTGAAATTCGATTGAGCGTTTACAGAAACTAGAAATCAGTTTGGTTTTGTTTTGTTCTTTGATGTGAGTACTTGTTAATACGCGCATAAATGCATAAAATACCTGTAGGAAATAGTATTCGTTGAAAATGTAATAAAATTAACATGCTGCTTAAATGTTGGCTGAGTACTGTAAAATAATGACGTGAGGACTGTCTACGATGCATTTATTGTACTCAGTCTGAAATGTAAAATCATCGATAGAATTTTTCATTAGGTAAAAACACGTGTAAAATTCGCCGAGAAACAAGTTTTAGCAGATATTGTATGCTTTTCATCGTAATAAACATTATTTCAATTAAATTAGGAAGCATATTCTCAGAATCACAGTCAAGTTGAGACTGATTAACGTCAAATTTTTGTTCGCATTCTGAATATGACAGCTGATTCGTACCAGCTGAAAACAGACGCTTTTTTCTGTTTCAGTATAGTTCGCTTGATTTGAAAATTGCTCACAATAGTTGTTCTCGACAAATGAATAAACTCTAAATCGTCCTGCGGAATGATTCGTATTCTACCTTGAAACGATTATCTAATTCTATTCAACAAATATTTCAACAATAACTTGTTTTTATTCCACTTCAGATGAATACTATTTATTCATTCATCAAAGTCCATCGACTCGCATATAATTGGTTTAGTTTGTATCAAGTTCTCATACAGAACTGTACGTATAAAATTTAGTCAATAATACTTATCCTATTGTACATAGGACGTAGTCTGGATTCTCTAAACCTAAAAAAAAATCAATTCAGTGTCTAAAGTAACGTTTCTATCGTCATATTTTTCATTTCAATTCGAACCAATGATAGATATTCGTTATGCCTACATGCGATCATTTGTCTTTTCAGGTATTGAGTATGAACGTGAAGGTGCTAGAAACTTTATAGACTTCATTTAGAAGCTGATCTATCTGGTGCTCAAAGCAATCAGAAGTTGCTTTTTCGATTAGTATTGATCAAAGTGAGGAGTTAATTTTGCGTATCAATGAAGAAACGCATTCTTGTAAAGATAATTAGTTGTTATTGGTATCGGAAAGAAGAACATTTATTTGTTTTAGTGAAAGATTAAACTGATCGACATAGGTTATTGCTAATGAATCAGAATCTGTCTGATGTACTCGTGTCAGTGATGTCTCGTAGTAATACACGAACAGATATTCAAAGTGAGTAATCAACTTCAATTATTCGAAAAAATAGTTGTGATGTATAAATTTAATTTCTATTCAAGATTGTCCGACAACGAATCCATGTGGAAAAACGCGGCTATTGTACCGATACTATTAATAATAATACTGGTAATCCATGGCAAGGTCAATGCGAGTTTTGGTGAGAAGGAAATACGTGTGAACCTCGTAAGTAAAGCAATAATCTATTGAGAATAGACTCGTTCATTAATCTTATGTTTCAGCGTCGGTTGCAGGAAAATAAGTTATCGCATTTAAGTGTTATTACCAGCGTTCTACTCGTATTCTATCATATTGTGGGTGTCATTTTGCGTATTCATAAGAAAAAAAAGAAATACAGGTGCAGAAATATGGCAATGCTATCGATTTGTCAATGAATAGCGTAGATGAATCATTAAACGATGAAAAAAGACCTGTATGCCGTTATAGCTCATTATTCATCTGGCTGCTTATGGCGATTGCTACTGCAATAGCCCTAACTATTCGATGGATTCTCGTTCAACCGATTCACAATGATATTGTTGATAACTATAATCGCCAAGTGCCGGTTTATTATGTGCCAAACAATTTTCGTTCATACGCCAGCGATTAAAGTCTCAATGTATTCACATTTCCAACTGCTTGTCTATTGATAATTGCTTTTGGTATCATTTTCAAACGGATCTCTTTCAAGCGCGATATATGCCGTAGCTATGTAGCGCCGATCATCCCTTTCAATTTTTTCGTGCATATCAATCGAACGTATTTCACAGTAGTTTTCGCTACTGTATCCAATATTTTATTGATGTATTCTCATAGAAGCTATTTGACAAGAAAGAGCCAAGAAAATGATACGATATTTAGGAAAATAGTTACTAAACTAATTATGTCATTTGAGCAATAAAAAAGGTTTTCTCTAAAGAATAATTTTCGACATGTTGATTAAATTTTTCAAAACAAAATTGCTTTAGAACTTGTCTTTTTTTGTTGTTGATTCCACTAAGTTCGATCGCCCGATCCGTAAAAAATATCGGGCTAGTATTGGCGATCTGCATTTGCTACTATCCCATGCTAGTTGCTGTTTATATGGGTACAATTTTCACATTAGCACGTGCAACAATCTATACTTGTCTCTATTTTGTTATCGTATTCCTCCATCAGGGCTATTGCCCAAAGTATTAGTATCGAACTGAAAGTAGTCATAATGCAACGAATTCTTCAGCTGATGTTATTAAGTGTTTATCTTACTATGGTACTGGTTCGAATTTGATTGCTATTGAATTCTGCGTTGATCTTCCATGATATTTATATTTGGCTTATATGAGCATTCGATTGTCCATGATGTTCAGCAGAAAAATTCTACAACATGAAATTTTTGTGTTGAATAACAATAAACTTTCGATACTTTCAATCATTTTTTTAAAAATTATTTCCAACATCAATAGGACGGTGTGATTATTGACGAAGAAACAATCCACCCGTATCCCCTTGGTTTCTATTCAAAAATATATTCTCGTAAAAGAGAAAGAACCCTGGATACTCTTTCTTTATCCGAAAAAGAACTTGTTGCTTATTGATTATTGAGTAATAATATTACATTTCATCTTGACAATAAATAAATAGAAAAACGATAATAGAAGTTAGGAAATTCACCATCTTCGCAGTCGGTAACGTTGACTTTAAGTTGAGTAAAATAAGTTGATGATCGAAAATTTTGCAGTATGTCTATATCCAGATCGGATTCATAATCGTTTGTTGGCCAATTTAATTGAAGAGAAATACGTTGCAATTTCTTGTTGGAAGCGAACATACGCGTCCACCAATTTGCATCAAGCAATGTGTTTTCATGATGGGTACCTTGAACGTCAATGTAAAATTCATGAAGATTGTGACAACACGCCAATAAATTTTCAAGAAACGTACCTGCCAGTACTTGGAAGCCATAATCGACGTTAAGTTAAGCGTAGTCATAGCTGCAAAACAGATCTTCTTAGGATCAACCGTGACTCTCTCACTCAGCGCAGTAGGCATCGGCGAACACCATAGCGGTGACGTCTGAGCAATTGTAGCTGAATGATAAACAGATTCCCTATCAGAGACCGAAACGAATGGCAAAAATGCCATTCGATTCGATTCGGGTTTTCAGGGCCTCGGTTCGCCTGAAAAAGAGCGCATTTTAGGGCATCGATCGAGAATGTCAAGAGCCAAGAGAAGATAATTTTTGCCCAAATGCATATCGAGTAGAGACGGAAAACAAAAAGTAAACACACTGTTCATGATTTTTGACTCCAGATTAAATCCATATACATACAATTGTTGCAGTAAAGGGCAATGTTGACAAAAAAGAATCTCTATTGAATCTTTCTTGTAGATCAGTTTGTAAACCAGTACCGTTCAAATCGACATGCAGTGAAGTAAGAGACACAAATGATGAGAAACGATTCACAATATTCAATTCATCTTCGTTCGAATAGCTGAATGCCAATTTCAGATGCTGCAATCGTTGAAGTGATACCATAGGATATTCCTAATTACAAATAAAAGCACATATAATTTATCAAAGTTGTTTGTTGTTATCTAACATGATTGATCTAATTTAATTGATATGTGTGATGTAAAGAAAAACCAAATTTTCCTCTATTTTGCTAATGCAAATAAAATAGTAATTAACTTAGAAGATAAGTTTCAATGGAATTGAGACCATCGCTTGAGTTTGAAAACGAGCTTGGATGAATGCTCTTGGACACACTAAGTTGATTGATACGTTTATTTATGCTATAAAATGCCAAAAGAAACTTTCTCGAGTCAATACAATCGAAGATTTCAAGCCAGATTTCATTTGATAAATCTTCAATGCATGATGGTGTCTCATTAGACATTTTTCTCTCCGTCGGTTAAAGTGTGTCTATAAAGAATTGTGCAGATGCAATTCTCTCCTAGTCGAAAATAAACATAATGTGTCAGCATTATTTTCCGCATCATGGTTGAAAAGAGTGCGACGGCAGCGGTTGTTGTTGGCGTTCTTTTCATTTGGTTTCTCGACAACCCCCGTCGGCACTCACAATTAGGGGTGCAATAGTTCACCTCTAATTCTCAGCGAAGGAACTGTTCGAAAGTTCATTTCGGTAGGAGCTGATTGTTTTGAACAGCTCCTTTTAAAAGAGCTGATCTGATCGAACAGCTCTCATTCCTGAACTGAACTTTTTGAACAGCTCGTTCTAAAAGAGCTGATCTGATCGAACAGCTCTCGTTCCTGAACTGAACTTTTTCAACAGCTCCTTTCAAAAGAGCTGATCCGTTCGAACAGCTCTCTCTCTCTCAAGAACTGATTGGAATTATGCCAAAGATAGTTTTTTTGGCATCATGCCAATCAGTTCTTGAGAGAGAGCGAGCTGTTTGATCAGATCAGCTCTTTTAGAACGAGCTGTTCAAATAGATCAGCTCCTACCGAAATGAACGTTCGAACAGCTTTTTCGCTCAGCTCAGCTGAACTTTCGAGCTTGAGCTGATGCACCCGACTCACAATCATCCGTAAATCTGCCCATAAAATCTCACACTCTTTGCGTTTGCAATGCATCGACAGAATGAATGATTGAAAATAGTGGTCATCTTTATTTGGTTACAAACTGAAATTTCTGATGTTTAATTTTAAGAAAAAACAATATTCTTTACAGTAGTCAACAAATTGAAACATATTCATTAATAGAGTTTTAAATTATGTTGAGTGTATTTTGCTTCATGAAGCATAAAGATGTCATTACTCTAGCCATATATGGACACCAATGCTATAGGTGTAAGAGTAACTGAAATTGCGCAAGTTTGTGTTGCGTTCGAGCCACTCATGCGAAATGAATCGATCATCTTTAGGCGTGGCTAGAACGTATTGATCAATGAATACATGTGTGAGTGTCGTCATCATACTGTTAAGAACTTGCGAAACGTTGTCAATAAAGCAGCGATTAAATGCGAGCTTTTCGACATGAGTGAATAAGCGACAAAGAGAATTAATCTGACTGGCGGTTAGTAGTTTCCGCGAGCGATCAGAACCCCATATTATGAACAAATGAGAAATTTGTGGCCAATCGTACGCTAAAAGTAATTTTAGAATCATCACAGGCACTCGGAGTGATCGTAGAGACGGCAAAGTATGCATCAATTGAACAGTGACATCGACTAATGTTTCTTCTTGCATGTTATCAATGCACAAACTAGTGATTATCGTCGAGTTCAAGTACATGGTTGTAAATCGACATCTAAAATTTTGATTCAAGTCTACTGTTGTTGCCGATAAGTAATAGACATGTGTGCATCGACGTAAAAGCGTAGTGTTTAACGATTTGCTATCTGGAATATAGAATTCGTTGACGAACGGAAATGAAGTTGGATCGGGATCAGTTGACTCAGTCACAAGCGTGCCCTTCATATCATAAAATGGATACGAATCGAGAATATATGGATTCGAATAGAGTAAAGCGTAATTGGTATCAATACAATAATCATGTGTCACGTACCATTTCTTTTCAACGAGCCAAAAATTGCTTTGAAAAGAGTACAGATCGAGCGGTTTTCTTATGTCCATATTTTGACAAAACGTTAAGCTGAATTTGAACGTAGTAATTTTCGTTAATAATTGTGCCCATCTATCACCATTGGTCATATCTCAGTGTACCTTTTCGGCAACAAGTGTAAAATGAGCTAAACAATTCATCGAAGAAAGCAAACATTCGATTATGTTAAATGTGACACCGTCAAAAGTAATTGATAATCGTTGTAAATTTACGGAAGAATGTTCATGAATGTTACTAATAAGAATATTATAGTCAACTGTGGAAGTGAAAGAATGCAACGCTGGTGTTATTGAAAACAACGATTTCAAATCAATTTCAATACAGCTTAGATCTGCATACTCCAACGAAGATGCTGTTAATGTACGACTTGGATCAATAGTAGCTATAGGATATGGATAATCGATTGTAGCAAGAGAAAGACGTTTAAGTGAAGGCGAAAAATTGAAGAGATCCATTAGAATAATTGACGCAAACGATGGCGTTTGAGGTTCCTCATAAATGCCGTAATTGGTTGAGGTCGCCGTTAGAGCAACGAGTGATACCAATTGAGTTTTGATAGAGTCCCAAACATTATAGTTAACATGACTAAGATGCAACGATTGCAAGTGTGAAAACGTACTGTTAAATGTATTAGATCGTCCGAAGAAATAAGAGATTTTGTCAGGAATCGTTTCATCTTCTAGATCATACAATGCCAACGAAACGACTTGGGACGATATATTCACTAGTTGAGTACAAAGTTGATAAAAAATTTTCTTCTTATCAAATGAACAAGTGAGTTCAAGTCGAAATCGAGGATAAGCCAGAGAGACAGTGCGAAGGCGTTTATTAATGAGCCATACAGACGTAAGAATATCGAACGTTGGAACATAATCTAGAATTTTATGAATTAATTCGACGGGTAACGTGCTTAACTGGTCGTACATTTTGTTTTTCGTCATCCGTGTTGTGAAGACTATTGATCGCTTTTCATACCGGACGAACGCGAAGACAAAGGCTGTATATAGATGCAATGCACATTGTTACTTCTAATTGTATTCATCCGGTTGGATCGAATTAAGCAGAATGAAATAAAAATGTCTTGAACAATGAGTACTTGATAATTACTGACATCACTGTCTTCATATAAATTTTTTTCTTTAACTCATATCTCCAGTATTTTGAGATAATCACATTGATCTGCATGCATCAGATGCTTGTGTGGTCAGCCTCTACATCCGTTGGATGCAGTCTTCCATGAGACAAGAATCGATGCATTTTGGTTCTCAAATGACCTACAACTGAACACCAAAAGTAACAGGGTGTGGGTGTGGATGTGTGATCTTCTATTTCATCATACCCATACCCATACCCATCCATGCCTTCAATGACGATCGTTGCTGGTTTAAAAAGAAAAGCTTTTCATTTTATTCCTATTGATGCTGTTATTCTTCGTCGTTTTTATTGTCGAATTCGTCGTTGTCGTCACGAAATAAAAATGAATCCCTTTGGGTAGGTTGCTAAAAATTTGTTTGCAATAAATACGAAACTACATAGCAGTATTGTGGATTTTCTACTATGTTTTCATGATTTCAATTCACTGGCCGATTCATCTCTTCCGAAGATCTTGTCGTCACTTACAACCTTATCCAATATTTGAGACAAAATCATATGAGAAATTATTGACACTGATAGCTGTTGACAAGCCTTATTGGCATTTTTTAGTGTTAAGATCTTGCCAACATAGCAATTTTTTTGCGAAATTACAGTGATATCTGATAAGAGGATCAGATTTTCAAAGAATCGTATAGTAGAAGTTAATGAAAAATTTCGCAGATGAAAAATTATCACATGATTCATTTCTAATTATAGTTATATGATCAGTTAGGATCTAAAATTTGATTCATTGATTTGTACCTGATTTTTCTTCATTTAAAATGATGGTAAAAATTCAAACCATTTTTTTCGTTGTATTCGAACATGCCAGAAAAGAAAAAGAAAAAGAACCTGATCAAGTATCGAACATGAATCATCGACTCGAGTGTCATCTAATGTTTCTCTTCTTTTTTCTGTCACTACCGATAGTATTTTTTGTTTTCATAGGCGCATGTGACGCAAACAGTGCACACATTGACGACTAATTTCGACTCCGGTTTTTTCCCTCCTTTCTCATTCTTTCTTTTTACAAAGAATACACTTCAATGAAATAAATATTTTTTCCGTATCTTCAACCAAGTTTTAAAGATATATAATTTTCGTTGAAAAACTTTCTCCACTCACGTACTATGTCGACGGAACCAAACAATACTGATAGAACTAATGGTGCCGCCAGTCGACTGCTTAATCGCGCAGCGAATACATTCATACACAGTGACTCAATCCATGAAGCAAGCAGAACTGCCGTTGCTGTTGAAGATGACAACAATAGTCAACCTTTGACGTGGGTCGATTCGTTAGCACAACTTGATCGTGCGTTATCGGGTGGCTTACTTCGTTTATGCAACAGTGTTATTGATATTGTTCTTCTCTCGTATGGTCTTTATTATGGTACAAAAACGTGCAGCATTTCTCACGCTTATGCATTTCTATCAATATTCATACTTGTTTTTGATGCCATGGCAATCGCTACTATTCTTCTATTGTTCCCAAGAAATTGGCGTCTACGCCATACGACTCTGTCCGAAGAGACAACCTCAAATCCATATCGCACAGGAACTCGTTTACGTAATTTTTTTTACTTTCTCAGATTTATATCCGTCTGCACTAGTACAGCCTATGTATTTACCTCGAAAAAGCCGCCTAATAATGATTGTGAACTTATTCGCTTTTATCTCGGTGTTGTGTGCTTCAATACATGGGTAATATTTTTGAATTGGCCACCAAAACCTTCACTTCCAGCACGACGATCATTAATAGGAGAAATAACACTTTTTCTCTTCTCGATTATTTATAACGGTATCTATTTTGGTTGTGTGGCCTTTGCTATGAGTGGAAATAACGAGCAAGAATGTGAATACAATCGAATCGAAGATCTATATTTTCGTGCACCACTCAAATCATTTGCCTATGTCGGACTTATTTTAATTGTTTGTAGAGTTTGTAACAATCTTCTATACTCCGCTTTCAATCGACTTTTTTATCGTCTAACAACGTTGCGAACATTTTTCATCCGTCTGGCAGCTCTACATTATTTGATAACTTATTTGCTAGGTGTCACCTCTGGCTACTACTATTCAGTGGGAGCCGTTCTTCTATTTCAACCTCGTTCAGGTGGATCGTGCTCTATAGTAGCTCCCAAACTTTATACGGTTCTTTTCGTATGGGAGTTAATTATAGTTTTCTCCCCACTTGTTATATGGTGTGTATTAATTATTCTTTGTTGTCTTGGTGCTGTACTTGGAGTTTGTCTCGCAAGTTGCTTACCCGCATCGATTACTGTTCCACTTCTAAGAGCAATGGGGGTATGTGCTTTTTTTAACCAATCAAAAACTAACTTTGATTCTTTGTATTTAGGGAAGGCTTCATGGTAATACTGGAACGCCCCATGAAAATCCACCAGCATCACCAGCTACTATCGATGCCTTGCCAATGATATTCTTCGGCCAAGCATCCGATGAATTCAATCAAAAGGAATGGTACGTAGAAACACACAAGAACGATTTCAATACTAATTTATTATTTTGGGAAAATATTTTTCTAGTGCTATTTGTCAATCGGATTATGAACCAAATGAAAAAGCAAAACGATTACCGTGTGGTCATATTTTCCATGAGCCTTGTGTAGCCCATTGGCTTTCAATTACACGCATCTGTCCTGTATGTCGTCACCGCATACCATCAACTGGTATTTAGAATACTTTTTTCTTCGTGTACGCCCAATTCGTACGCTTAACTGTGGTTCATAGCTTACATATCCTTGACTGTGTGCTTTTGTTTCTTGTAATAGACAAACTGAAATAGTGATTTTTTTTCTTGACTTTATCGAATCAGATATCGATCGAGAGATTTTGGATTGAATAAAGGTGTGTAAGCGTGTTCTGTGTAAGCAATTTTTTCTTGGCAACATGTTGCGTTTATTTTCACTGTTCGCAAATAGTGTCTTCCCATTAGGGGTGTCAATTTACAGTTTATTTAATTTAAATTTAACTACATGAAAATTTAATTTAATTTTAAATAAAATTCTATCAAGTTAAATTTAAAATAAATTTTAATTTTTCTGATATAAAAATTTTAATTTAAATAAAATTTTAATTTTCAGAATTTTAATTTAATTTAAATTAAATTTTTGAAAATTTATTTCCCGATTTAATAAATTTTTTTAAATTTAAATGTGACACCCCTACTTCCCATGTAAACAGCTTGATTTCAAGAATCGATTATATTCGTACGATTTTAATCTATTATTTCCATTTTTATGATTATAATTGATTAAGAATATTTAAAAAAATTGATTATAATCATAAAAATGGCAATAATCAATTAAATACCGATTTTGCTATGATTACTACAGCTAAAATTATTGATTAAAATCGTATGATTAGAATCGATTTTGCCCTCTCTAAAGCTGATTTTTTTCGATATTTTTCTTTTGCATGGATTTAGCCTATACAAATTCCATGAATTATAGATTTTTAGTTATGATCGAATAGAAAATTAGTTGCTCGGTCATTATTTTACATTGTAAAAATGCTACAGAGACTTAAATTGCTTGATTAATACTAACTTTAGAAAATTCATATATAAATCATAAAACCATAGATAAATAATAGCTATCATCCGAGATTTCGCAAGTAAGACTTTGTACATGTTGCATCGCTTGAAATTAAATAGTCGAGATATATATATATATATATTATTAGTCTAGCATATTTCATTAAAAAATCGTTAACGAAAAATCTTCACTCATTGAGTAAATACCATTTTTCTTTCAAAGTTAAATTTATTTAACCTATCCTATCTTCTATAAAACATCAACACTATATTAACACCATTGCATATAATCTGACCCATGTTTTCATTTACAGAAGTCAACCAATTCATATGTTGAGCAGAATTACTGTGATTCATAGCAATAACAATTACGATGATCACGATAGTAGCTAATATAATAGAATGTTTTAGGATGATCAAAGGAGTGAAAAAGCGACCACATTGAGAGTATCGCCTAAGATACTGTTCGTTGAATCGGTCAACAACTGGAACCAATCGATTATTGGTACTGGAAAAGAGTTGTTGCAATGGAGGGAACATCACAATTTCATTTTAAGTGCATCGTAGGAAACCGTTGATTTTCGATGTTGAGCAGCTAGATCTTTTAAATGACCGTCAGGTCATAGTTAGTTGATGTTCAGCGGCTCTCGAGTAAGAAGACTGATACCACGTTCAGCAACCCATCGTACGATTGCGCCACGTTCGTAAATATGGCCATCTCCAACTAACGCTGGATCACGAAAAATTTGCAACGTAATTGAACAAATCAAGTCTTTACTGGATTCAACAGTAGATGATGATAGAGGATCCATAAAAATAAATACAAGCTTCATTGATAGTATGTTACTTAACGGAAGTCATACAAATTATTTGTTGATTGCAATTTTTAAAATGGTGAGATGTATTGATTTTACGGTAAATGCGCACTCTTGCAATACCAATTAAGAAGAAACATAAAATATGGCAAGAAAGTAACTCCCATTTGTCGGCATGAATCATAAAAATAGATAGACAGAAATATTTACTTGAAAAACTACAAGGACAATCGTAGCGTGCATCTATTGAATGCCAATTTTTAGAACGTACAACGATGAGAATCTGTTGAGAGAGAGAGAGAGAGAGTCGTTTTCATTTTGTTTTATTTTGCATAACATATCGGTTCTTTTATCATGAGTCAAAGTTGCATGTAAATGATTTGTGGCAATCATGACCATAAGATACGCAGGCGTAGAAGATATTCAAGCATCCTTCACAGAATGTAAAGTAGATAAGGAGCGAAGTTATTTTGTGTTTGAAGGATAGGTTTTAAATTTATGCAATGACGCTGAGAGATTAGTGTTTGACATGAACGAAACGAATATACTTAATTTTTTTTTGCTATCACTGTAGATTTGGTTGTAGTGATATCATAGTCCATGAAGCTATTAGAAATTACGAATAGTGTTGAGCATAAAATTAAAATTAAATTTCAATATTTGTTTTCATAAAAAGACTTACCGAAAAATTACTGCTCACAATTTTAACTAATTCTAATATCTAGCACTCAGATGGTACAATTCTCAATGAACAACAGGATAAAATATTGAATTGAAGTATTTTAATAAAAGAAAAATCACCTGAAAAACAGTAAACAATAACAGTCGTTGAGTTTTAGCTGTACTACTGTACAAAAAAACTGAGCGAAATTCCTCAATGCTACACAAACCAATACGATTAGGAACTTGAGTATAGGTATCTTTATAATAGATTCATTTTTGTAAAATTGTATTCGAATTATTACGCTTGAAATATTTTGTTTTCACTATGTAGTAGAATTGTGTAATTGTTTTCTTTAGCTTTGACTATTCCGTATTGAGAAGTTTTGTATCGGTTTCTAAGTTTAAGGGTCAATATAAAATTTCTGCATTGTTCGTATAAAGTTATCTTGTTCCACGAAATCCATTCTCAAATATTTCGCGAAAATCTTATATTGAAACAAAATAAATATGAGAGAAATTCGGTATGATTTGTGTACCTTAATTTATTTCATAAAATTTCTTAGCTTTTTTATTTTATGTGTGATAGTTCAACAAACAGAAAAGAAAGCTAATTGAAGAAAAGTTAATTTTTCTTGTCAGAAAAAAAAATTTTAACGCCCGTAATGTTTGTCAATGGCTTTAATAGCATCAGCGTAACCCTTTGGAAAAAGTAATTCAATTCGTTTTTGTCTATGTTCTTCTTCTTCTTTATATAGTGTAAGTATTTCTTGAAATTTCTCGTCACTCATGCCAAGTTTTTGTGCTAATGCGGATATTGCATCAATTTCTCGTGTTTTCAAAGTACCATCAGCAGCTGCTGCTCGAAAACCATCATAGATAAGTTCAGCTTGAAAATGTTCGGCACTTTTTAATTTACTATCATTATTATAAATAGCTGTCGAATCTTCAGAGCCTATTTCATATTTTTTCAGAACTTCAAGATCATCGTGTGATGCGCCTAAATATAAAGCGAATGATCTGTTTATTATTTAATTTTATAATCCAAATACTCACCGCGAATTGCTGCGTAACCTACAACCCATTTTCGTTCAGCATTCGTAAGTACACCATCGGCACCAGCTACATCTAATAAGGCTTTAGCATATTTGCTAGTGACGCTTGCTTTCGGTGGTCTATCTTTATATTGAAAATAATCTTGATATATCCACGGAGTTATTAATTGATCAGACGATTGTTTAGGCATTTTAATACAAGTGTAGATGTTTCGACGATAGAGACAGAAGCGAAACAAGTAGTACTATACAGTATGTTTTAATATGTGCAATCATGATTCGATTTTCTTTCTTGTTTCTTTTGGTTGACCATGTGTGACGAAATGATTGTGCGTGATAGGCCTATATCATTGTACACTAAGGAAAAGAGAAAGTAATATCAAACAAATAAGTATGAAAAGTGTGCTTCATGGATTAGTTTCAGAGCAAGGCGATGATTAGCTGATTCTATCGTTGTCTAAAATAATATCAACCTCCATTGAAATATTCTTTATTCGATATGAAAGTATACAAACAGTATGTTCGACGTATCAGATTTATATACTGATTCTCATTGTATTTATTTCGAAACGTACAGTGAATATTCAGGAAGAAAAAATAAGAGACATCCGAAAGCAATGATTAGTAAAGTATCCACAGAATTATTATGAATATGAAACAACCTGTGTTTTCTTAGATATTCGAATCGTTTCGATGGTGATATGAATCTTGACGACGATCGCAAAGCTTCGTTTGCTCAAACTTTTATGGTCATTACGAATGAGTCATGGCCGGACAAAATTCATTTTTCTCAGATAACTATTTCTCATCGAAATAGTTTTATTTTAACTTGCCCTTGCAAAATGATTACGACAGTAAAGATAGTTTATTTATCCTAGGGTGCAAACTGGATTCTTTTATTACCGCAGTAGCGATTGATGAAACTGAAGCGAAGACTTGCTGCGATTCTACTGAGAACACTGACGGTACCCTGCAAGATTGATGTTTTGCAAAGGGCGTATTTTAATATACATTTTGCTTATCAATTCATTATTTAAGAGACATCTACCGTCTGATACAGATATAATTACTGTTTATTAGAGTACAGAGTAAACGAATAAGAAAGTTTTCACAAGACTTTTTTTAATTCACTTATTGTTGTTCTAATTTGATAGATCAATGTTACGTTTAGGAACAGAGAATGATTTCAATGCACTCTATTCAATCTACATGCATCCAACGGTCAATCCATATTTAAATTTTGAAATGATGAGTAAAGAAGAATTTCTTCCATTATTTCATGAATTAATAACATCTGGAACATTGTACGTGTATGAGAATGACGATGGACAAGTAGCAGCTACTTGTATTGTGTGCCGTTCACAACGACGTTTTTCACATGTTATATGTTTGACAACATTTGCAACGAATCCGAAATTTCAGCGGAAAGGTTTTGGTACAAAGCTGATTCAAAAATTAATTGAAGAATTAACAAAAGACGAACGAATAAAGCGAATCGAACTCTATGCAGAAGTCGATAATGAAATCGGTTTGAACTTCTATAAAAAACTTGGCTTTCAAGTGGAAGGCTGCTTGAGAAAATCTTATAAAAGAATGCAAGATGATCATCCTATTGATGAACTTGTGTTAGCGATGGTTTTCGATTAATTTTTATGTGGCTTCAAACATGATTCTTTTTCATAATCTAAACTAATCGTTTTTGTGTATGAATCGTAAATTGATATTTTATTGATTGAAATGTAGTTGTTCCTTTATATTTTTATATCTAACGTAAACGAATTAGACCCTTTACTATGACTCGACGACAGGAAGACCACTACACTGAAGCTGTACGGTGAATTCCTTCTTAGTCACATAGACGTAGATAATATTTTTCGTTCTTCTCTTCTTCTTGATCGTAATAGATCAGTCGAAGGACTCTTTTTCTTTGTTCTAATCTTACAAATAAATATAAACAATAAGAGAGTAATTTGAGTCTTAACTCTGACAAATTGCGCACGTTTAATGTGTGTCTTTACTATGATAAGCTGAGATACATTCAATTTTGCCTTGTTTATCAATCCATTAGCAACGTAGCATCTACCGTCTAACATAGATATATTCTTTATTAGAGTAAATAGGAAACGAACGCGAAAGTTTTCACTAGATTTCTAATTCACTTATTGTTCTAATCTTATAGATCAATGTTACGTTTAGGAACAGAGAATGATTTCGATGCACTCTATCCAATCTACATGCATCCAACAGTCAATCCATATTTAAATTTTGAAATGATGAGTAAAGAAGAATTTCTCCCATTATTTCGTGAATTGATAACATCTGGAACATTATATGTGTATGAGAATGAAGACGGACAAATAACAGCGACTTGCATTCCATGTCGCTTAAAACGACGTTGCGCACATATTGTCTCTTTGACAACATTTGCAACGCATCCGAATTTTCAACGGAGAGGTATTGGTACACGCTTTTTGAGCGAATTAATTGAAGAATTAAGAAAAGACAAACGAACAAAACGACTTGAATTGTATGTGAGCGTTGGCAATGAAGGCGCTTTACATTTGTATCAAAAAGTTGGTTTTCAAGTGGAAGGCTACTTAAGAAAAAGTTTTACACCAATGAAAGATGGTCCTCCAACTGATGACCTACTGATGGGGCTGATTTTCGATTAGCAAATTCATTGAAAATCTCAACACGCTGGGAGATCATATTATATATGATCGGTTTTTTTTTGTAAATTAATAAAGAAGCTTCATTGTTGTCAAAAACTCTCTTCGAGTATTTTTGCATGAGTTAAATAGATTGTTTTTCTTTTTTGCTTGCACACTTTCATTGACACAATCCTTTTACTTCAATATGAATTGTGTTCATTTAAACTATAATAATCAAGATGTTTGCGTATTATCTAAGATGCTAGAACGTATTGAGAATGACTCTTGATGGTGTGAGTGTGAGATTGAATGAAGGTACAGATCAACATTCAAAACGGTAAGTTGCCATAAAATCTCTCTGGCCCACTACTAAGTCGATAAGAAAGAAAATCATTAAAACAAGCACAAACGGTACGCTTAAGCCAAATTTTTAGCACACAACGATTGAAACTACCGCTCGTGTATCTCTTATGAACATGATAGATATTACTTGAGTGTTTAACATTGAACTTGCATGTATGTCATATTTGCGACTACTGTGGACTTGTCGGAAGAAAAAATCAGCAATGGATCAAGATGGACGGATTGGAATAAAGTTGAAACTAAAGCGCCTATGCGAATAAAATGAACAGTGAAAGTTGGTAAATATGTTATACAAAATTCATATCTTTAAAGGAATAAAATAAAAAATGATGAAGATTTATAAATCGTGCAATCTTTGTTGACGCTAAATATATAGGTGATGTAGTTATGGGTGTCTAATCCAGCCGTCTTCTTATGATATGAAATCTATCGTTACATATTTTGTCTATTTCGAAAAAAAAGGATCAGCTTTATCATTCTGCTACCAAAAATGTGACACTTCAAAAACATAAGAGCAGCTTCAAAAAAAGTATTTGTTATCATATTTTTTCGGTAACTGGACAATTCGTCGCGTAGTTTATTGAATGTAACACAATTAATGTAGAGGTGGAGAGAGAAATTTATTCATAGAGAAGTCTAGTGAAAATCATATGTTAGTTAAACTTACTTTTAAAATCTCTACTGTGATGTCGAAAAATCATTTTCGCAAAAGCTTTTCGTTCTAAAGTATAATTGTAACCTTCATTGCCAAGCATAGACTTTTCCTTCTCACTTGAAAAAAAACTTGTTTGTAGAGTCATTTTTCGTAAAATAGTAGTAAATTATTAGATTACTAGTAATAGTGCTGATTGCATTCATAGCGCATTTTATCTCGACCACCATGGCCGGTGATTTCATGAATGTTTTTCAAAATTGTAAAATATGATTCAATAAAAACTACTCGTCGGCCATTTTTTAATGAACATAATACATCAATTCCAGTCGTGTTATCAACTATAAAATGCTTTTTGCATCACCAAAAAAATTTTGTGTTAACACAATTTTTTTTCCACTCTTAGACTGTTTCGCAGTAAATATAATTTTTTGATGATAATTCAAAGATATCATTGCCTTTTCTGAATATTTCAACCGGGATTTGTAAATATCAAGCTTTGAATAAAATGTTTCTTCTTCTTGAACAGATTATTCATTTGACTGATTGACCACTACTCCATCAGTATCGGTCACGACTGCATCATTACCATCGATGATTACGTTTGTTGATACATAGGTGTCTATGAATCTATTTGATACTTCAGTTGTTAATGAATTATTATACATGGTGACGAGAAATAATAGGCAATTCCAGATGAAATTATTTCCGAATATATTTTCAACGTTAATAATGGTTTAGTTTTAAAAGATTTTATCCAATTTTTATTCAATATATTTTCTGCACACAACTAAATCCTCCACATAAAAAGCATAATATATATAGCGTCCAATTCTAGATTGGCCTAGTTCAATTTGAGATTCGCCTAGAATTTTCAGGCGAATCTTAGATTGGACGTGTTGTAATCGATCAATCCGAGAATGGCCTGAATTAGCGTCAGCCCAATGTCAAATCCGAGATTGGACGCTGACATATATATACAAGAGAGAAGGAGAGAGAGCGTGATGAATACAGGTTAAAGCAATGGAGAGAAAAGAGAGGAAGAAGGAAAATCATCGGAGCGGCCACGAATATCGACTCAATACTAATACTTGAATTCTGACCTAAAATATCCTTCGTATATATTATACGAATTAAAATTATTGGCTGATATGTACATCCCAACCTATTACATATATGATTATTAATAACGATTTTAAGTTTTGTTCGTGTCACTGTTACGGTTGTTTTGTTTTAAGTTTATATTTTTTAAATAAAATTTCCAACACAACGAACAAAAAGTTTCGCTTACAAATAATAGATTAATAATAGACAAAATGAAATCATTGGTTTTATTAAATAGGTTGAGGCAGTTGAAGAAGCTGAAAATTCTTTTTTACAGAAATTCAGAGCACGAGATATTACCATATCATTTACAGCTGAAAATTCTCCAGAATTTTCAAACGAACAATATCGAGGCCATTTTCGTACGACATCCAGTGTGCCATTACCAGGGCTAAATTGCAATAAAGCTATAGATTTGGAGAAAAGAAAATGGTAAGCATTACCAATTCGTCCAACCCGGACTTTGTGATTGTCGATGAGTAATAATGTAATAGTTTTCTTTTACATGACTTCGTTCTTTACCACAATCGATCCATGAACGTACTGCCTTTAGCGCTTTTGCATTCGGAGATGCTGTTGTGAAATTACCAATAATACAAATACCTAAAAAATAAAATGCTAATACTTTAAATAGTAGATTTAATTTTCTTTTACCGAATGCATCTTTGTTCCAGCCCTTTGAATGAGCACCTTCACGACCCCATCCTCGACCTTCATAAACTTTTCCATTTTCGCCGACTAAAAAGTGATAAAAAATATCGGCAATGGTCGGAAGATTTTGTTGACCATATTGAATATTTTTTACTTGATCAATGCATGATTTATCATCATAACAACTATCAATAATCAATTTCGTTCAATTATTTTCTAGAGAATATATTTACTTAGCAAAACCAGGCTCATGATGAATGATATAGAATGACAAAGGTTTTTTTGTCAGATTTTGTATTTCAGATGGTTCTTGTGCGCCCCATCCATCTCGATCAACAAATGATACTTCATCGCACCGTGATTGCGCATTAACAACAGTAAGTAACAATGAATAAATCAACCACATCATGTCCATGTTTTCTTGTTTCAGAGTTTTGGTAAAAAGCTATAAAATATCGAATATTTCTCATCCACTTTCAAATCAATAGAAAAAAAAGCATGTGCATTTTTTCTCTGTATGCATCATACTTATAGCTTACCTAAACAGTTAATGTCAAATATATGAATGTAAAAGGTATTAATGAATTCAAATAGTTACCTATGAAAAATCACGAAACATGAATTAGCAGTTAATGAAATAAAAAGAAATAGAAAACAATACATTGGATAAGAGTCCTCCGGTTTACAAAACGAAAAAAAATAGCTTGTTTTTCAATAAATTGGTATGAAGCAGTAGATGAACGATTTTATACATGAAATTTATAGAAATCATCTGAAAAATATTCCCGGCGATTAGAGATCAGAGAAAATAATAATTGGTTCAACGTCGATTGAAGTGTTGTTTTTCCGATATTCATACATAATTTGATCGGCCTCGGCACATCACATCAATATAGATATTGACAAAAAAAAGTGTTCTTTCTTACTGTTAAATGTTGTACTCAATTAAAGGATTCTTTGCTTTAAAAAAAATTAGCTTGATCACTTACCGTTTCTGCGATTGAAGTTCGTGTGAGTTATGCACAAATGCACGATATAGATTTCGTTGTATCAAGACTTTTGATAGACACTCAGTGAAAAATATTCTTACCATATAGTCAGCTTCCTTTGAAGTGCCCATTTCCTAGTTGGGTCACTATTTTAATTCAGGGGTCGTATAATGAATATTCATAGCTCGTCGAGGAAAAAAATTAACAACTGAATTCTAAGTATTTATTTAAGATTAGTGACATAATCCATTAAATATTCAGCTACTTATTTATATTAAATGATTTAATTAAATTTTATTGGATCCACGATGCAAATAACCATGCACTTACCACTTAGAGAATGTATGACAAAAAAAAATGATCGAGAAAAAATATACCAAGATAAAGAATACGCAGTCCTTGTATGTGTACTCTGTATGGGATGAAAAATTATAGCGAGTTTCTAACAGAGAAATGCACCGCGCCGGAAAAATCAGGTGTACAAAACAGAAATGACGACGTAATCTGAAAAACAATGACGATGGCGGCCATCGCCCGTGAAGTGCTTTCAGCGACGGGGAACAGTCGCTTCACCAATGTTGACATGATCACACATAGGTGTTCAATATTGGTCTCAAATGCGCATGAAATACTATCCATGCAAAAAATCGATTTAATTCGCACTATTACATTCTAAGTTGAACCAGGTTTTTCAACCTGACAGATGAATTATATTTGATGCAAATCAAATAACGTCTTGAGGGTGTAAGGTGGATGCGAATGACAAGACTAAGCCATCAGTAGTTCACTATTTTAAGAAAACAAAATTTACTATCAATTTCTGTTTATGTGTGATGATCAGATAGACATTGAACGAATGAAAAGCACCATCGAATATCTATCAAAAGAAGATGAATCCACAACTACTGGTGAGAATAACAAAAAACAATCAAATTATTGCATAAAGGTGATGTCATCGCTGGGATCGAATACAAAAATCAAGATCAGCAAGTCCTAGCTCGAATATGCTGTTGAGAGAAAACAAGATACATAATTTTAACAATATCATTTGCAGGTAAAACGTGAATATTATTATTTATGAACTGCATCAATATGATTCAATGTCAAAGTTCATGGCAGTAATATGTAACTATTTATCGTTATTGAAGTCAGTAAAGATAGGCAAGGTTCATACGAATTGAACCCAATTTTTAATTATGAATGTCGCATTTATTCAGCCGATAAACATGTACTGATTAATATTTAAAAGAATATTTACATCAGCGTCACACTTTGATAGAACTACTGATTATTCATTTAACATCCGACAATACTCAAATAAACAACGATGAAGGACGTCATGAATTTTATTTTTAATGAAACGCGTGTGGATTAATATTTATGAAGATGAAACTCCTAATGATTTTTTTTTCCAATAATCGGTTTATCGTTCTCGTTAATAACTGAATTTTTATAGGGATCTACAAACTGTTACTGGCTTTAAATACTACAGTGCAAATTGTGTTGGAAAAGATAATTTCAACGAGTAACATGTCATGAGAACAAAAGTAATGTCCATCTTTCTTCTCTATCTGGCGCTCTCTATTAATAAAATTAGCCAATCCACAGTTCTCTCATAATGACTCATGTATAACTTATGATCTGATGATGATGGATAGAAACGTATTTTTAAGAATCTCTAGAACATGGCCTACTCATATATTAATTAAATTTTTTTCTAATAAAATGGTAAGAACTACTTTGATTTTTATTATTTACTTATTTTTCCTATAGATGAATGAAGATCTTGATGACGACGAAGACGACGTTATACTTGATCGACAAAATTTAATTCATAATATAAATAGCACATCAAGTAATTCCGATCTTAATCAATCGAATTTTGAACTCGACGATGATTCTAATACACTATCAAAACAAAAAACAGCGATTTTAGCTGTTACTTGTATATCCATTGTATGTGATTACAATATTTTCTTTTTGTTCTAATTTTGTTTGCATATCATATTTATGTACAGGGTATGTTTACCGGATTATTGGGACCTACATTTTCATATCTCGAACAAAAGATGTCTACTAAATTATCATCCATTGTTTGGCTCATTGCTGTTAAAGCAATAGGTTTTCTTATTGGAACTTGTTTAAGTTCTTGTCTGTACACATGGTAAAGCTCTTTTCATATTTTAAAACAAAATGTGAATATTTTTTGTTCGCTTCAATAGGTTTAATGTATGTTGTTTGCTTGGTTTATCTTGTTTATCGATAAGTTTCGGTGTTTGTTCACTACCATTTATAACAGATTTGACAACATTTTATTTAACTTCACTTATACTTGGTATTGCTTTGGGCTTATCTTATAGTGGTAAGAAGAATTTTGGATAATTAAATAATTAAATCGATTATTTTTAGGAATGGATGCGCTTTATAATCGTGTATGGACTCAACCAACTGTCTCATCTATTCGTTGGCTACATTTACTCATAGCTTTAGGTGCTATACTTTCAACATTGATGCTACTACCGTCAACGTTTTCAACTGATAAAAATACTTCATCAATTATAAATACTACTCGTAGGTTTTGTTTGAAAAAAAATGTCTCTTTCTAATTCTATTTTATCAAAGAATCGTTGCGGCCGCCTCGTGAAATTTTCAATAATAATACAGAATTATCATTTAATTTATCAACATCAAAATCTATTTGTATGGATTCGTTTTGTTGTTATGATCAGAATAATCGAAATCAAACATTTATCTGTCAAGAAAGCGATAGAAATAATTCGATCGATTGTCAAAATATTCTTTCATCATGCCGAACTTCATTATTAAATATCTGTAATATATCGTGTCACATTGATCGGGTATGTACGTCAAATTGCTCAATGGAATCCATTGATCCCGCTACAAATAAAAGCAGCATTATCCCTGTAATTGTTAGTCAAACATCAACTAGTCATCATAACAAACCTCAAACAGCTGAATCATACAACGATGATCTTTCACAAAATTATTTTTATCTTAAAATTCGTTCATTTCTTCGTTCGATTACATTGATTGATTTAATTTATTTGTTTATTTCGTTATTATTTTTTCTATTGGCTATTACCTATTCCATATTGGCGATGAAGGACGACACAATGGGTTTACTTTCGATGTCAAATTTAAACTCATTATCATTATTATTTATTCAGCCTCATCGAATAGTTAATAATTCGAATAGGCAAGTTTCATTGCTGTCGGATCGTTCATCATTTAAATTTGTTTTTCTTCTTGCCTTATTTTATTTTATCTTATCCGGCATTGAAAATTCCTGTACGTATTTAACATATCTATTTGGCAGAAAAATTCAATTATCAGAAAGAAACAGTTTAGTATTTCAAATTTGTTATCTATGCGGTCGTTTAATCGATATACTTATTAATCATGCGTGGCTTTTAGTGAATAAATACCTGAAAAAACAATCAGATTTCATTTCAATAAAATCCTTAATATTTTTTCGTTTGCTCATTTTATTTCTTATTTGTTTCTCAAGTTTATCTCATGAAAAACTGTATTATTTTGTATTTTTCTCAATCGGATTCTTTTTAACATCATTATCAAGTTTAATATTATATTGGATTGAACGTGATCTAAGTTTAAATGAATTACTTCTTCGTATTATATTATATGCAATGCTAATTGGTGAAATAATCTTTCCTGTAATTATCTTTTATAAAATAGAATATTTTCTACAATATTATTTATTAATTGGGTTATGTTTATTGATGATTTTATTCATAATAATTTTATATTCGAGTAAAAAATGGCAACGAAATCGATTGTATCGCTTATTACCAACATCCATGGAATTGGATGAAATCGATACTGAAAACAATACTGATAATGAAGCATAGATCAAGAATTTAGATCTGATTTTGTTTTTGTTTCGGTGAACTTTGTCTGTTTTCTTTTCCATATTAGAAAAAATAAACTTAGAAAATACCGCCTGGAAAATGTTCTCGTACGAAAATCATCGTTAATAATTTGGTAGACTTTTGTATGGCGTAGAGAGTATGATAAGACCTGTGTGTGCCATGTCTCATTCTTTTCGGGATGTGAAACTATTCGATAAGATAGAATTCTTACACGCCAATTGATATGAATATATGTTGGTATTTTTTTATGAAAAATTCTATATGTTTACTCATGATACAGCGTTTCTTAGGAGAACTGACTTCGGCTAGATAAATATGCATAGAAATCATCATTGATGATGAAAATTTCAGATCTTTTTTTTATGGTTTCTATATTTCTAGGATCGCAATTCATAGTTTATTTTAAAAAGACGATAGAAGATTGATGCAGCTAATGAAGATCATAGCGGGGAGCTTGCTGAGCACGACGATAGCAATCATCGGCAAGAGTACCCGTAGGATCTTCACGCAGTGCACCACTACGATCACGATAAAAGCCCCCGTTCGTCATACGACTAATACGATGATCACCTCCAGCACTAGGACCAGGACGTGCTGCATTCAAACCATCCATAACAGGCAGTAAAATTGCGCTAGCAGCACGACAAAAGCCATTGTAAAGACGAGTAACAGGATTAGCACGATCATCTAAGCGAAAAATAGATATCAATCTTTGAATCGTTAAGAAACGCTTTGGCCATGGTGAAGGATTTCGTGGCTATGAAAAAATTTTTTTTTGCTTTCACTTACCATCAACATTATGTGTAAGCGTTAGATAGATCTCATGTTTATTCTTGACAGGATCATAACGAACACCATCAATAGTGAAGCAAACACCCGGATGAATAAGTTCTTCTTCTTCATCTGGATATTCAGACAGTTGACTAAGATCTGTTGTATAAGCATAATTAACACGCAGAACGAACAAAACATTACCGAACTGTTCAGCTTTAGCTCGATTTCGACTAGACGAAGTGAACGCTTGAAACGAACCACGTTGATCAGAACTACGAACAAGTTGGACATACTGAGCGATCAAATCATCGGATAAATTGGCTCCTCGATATAACATTTTTCCTCCCGTGAGCGGTAGATGATTGTAAGGGTCATCCCACAGAAGTATACAAAATGGTCCGAAAGTGCGTAATTTACTTCGCCATACATTTTCGTGTTCTTTACTGCCAATTAATCTCATTGTTTCGTTGATTTTTTTGTATAAAAAACTTTCCATTGTGTAAAGACGAGCGCAACACTTCCATATTCTTTTCAATCCATTCAGCTTCACGTGTTTTGCCTGCAAGTTTACCCTCTTCAATAATACCTTGAGAGGCTCTATCAACAAGCATTGACACTATTCTTGATTCATTTGATGGTAGTTTATCTTTTTTCAATCTTAACTCTTTCTTTGCGTGTACAATGAAATCAGGCGTCCAACCTTGTAGGCCGCTAAATGGATTCTTTGCTGGAATTGGATTCATCGCGAAACGTTCTTCTCGTAAATGTGTATCAGTTCTGCGTCGTATCTGGCGTTGAATAGGTTTTTGATCATTAATATCATTATTGGAGACTTGAATGTCGTTTTCGAAATCGATGTAGACATCATCTAATGTAGCGATTGGTAGTCTAGCTCTGAAGGCTTCTTCGATAATACGATTTTCCACATCCGAATAACGACTCCACTCGATTGACTGCGATGCCACCGATGAATTCGAGTCTGATAACCACGACCATTCAGCGCATGACGAAGCGCTGATGCGTGCTGACGCCTGATTACTCATTTTTGTGAATTGATCGAGATTTCTTTTGATCTAATTCATTGATGAATAGAATTTTCAATAGGTTTTTGAAGAAACATTCAAAAAATGCCTCATTCCTATTTTCAGTGAACTCAACAAATGCGCAAGTCTTTTTCAATTTTCTAGCTGACTAAAAAAGTCATGAAATAATTAAGAGATCAATTGATTTTCGAAGAAGGGTTTAGATACAAACATATCTTTGATTTACATTGTAGATCTCGTCTATGCTTCACTATTTTACAATGGCCAAGCATCGTCAAGTAAAGCATCTTGAAAATCTACTCTCTTTATTCACGTGCTTCAAAAATGCATTACTTTGAAACACAAAAAATTCAGAATGATTTATTATTCTCTTTTTTCTTCTATTCCGATATATTTATATTTGTTGATGAAGAAAAAGAAAGCGGTCGATTGTTATATAGAGTCTGCTTGTTTTGAATCATTGTACGAGTCAAAGCGAACATGATTTTTGATTTACAAATAAAATTCAATGATTTTGCCACGTTAATGTAACGACGGAACTATATGAAATTTTCATTCAATTACACCCACAAGATAGTCATACGATCTCGAGAAGAATGCAAAACGAATCGCTTTCGGTTATCGCCAAGTAAAATAATATAAATTAAAATAGTTAATTTATCAGCATGATATTTCTTTCAGTCGTTTACAAGGAAACAATTGAACAATAACAATGCTTACATTACTTTGTTTTTCTTAACTCAATTAATTTTCTATACGTTCAAAATGTGAAACACGATATGTGGCTCTTATTGGTCATTAGAAGAAATTATTATAATATTTGCCATGGCGCTGAAGTTCGCCTGTCACAGTCTACGTTGACGAAAGCATTTCTAGCGTAACTTCTTCAATATTTCTTCTCGAACGATGACACACAATGGATAATTGCAATATCTTTTAATCATTGCTCATCATCTCATTTCTTCGTGCTCTAGTTCCGGAGAAAACGAGGTCGAACATGTTTTTGAAAATCTAAGAGGTACCTTTATTTAAAGAAATAATGCTGCTACTCTTCCAATATATTAATCGATAGAGCTGCAACTAACGAATACATATTACATCTGATACAGTGTTTCCCGTATCATCCCTTCAATAGTAAAGAAAATCAAGTTAGTTCTATTTGTACTAGGGTCCCGCAGGAACGATTTTTTCCGTATTTTCCCGTTCCGTTTCCTGTGGTAATCGAGAACGGACACGATATAAGAAATACTACCGTTCCCGAAAATCTGTTTGCTTTATTTTTATTAAAATGTATCGATGTAGCAGTTTTTTATTTCATTTAATTATCAAAAACAAAATTCTCTCTCATTCATACGTGCGGCGTGATATGTTATATTGTGAGACACGAGGTGCCGTGATCGTGATAAGCTGCTATCAGGCAATAAAATTTTTGCAATGCCAAAACTGAAATAGTAATAGGAACTGTGGAAACATTTTCGGAACGGGAACCAAGAAAAGTCGTTCCCGCAGGACCCTAGTTTTTACACAGCCAAAAGAGCAGTATCTGACATATGAGAAACTGATTGTCCTAAACTGTTCACACAGCGATATCAATGAATAAGATCTACGATTTATTGTTCACACATTGGAAAACGACAATATGTTTATTATGTATTATCAGTGAATCGTTTTTGTAAAGTTGGTTCATCGCCGTACATTTTTTCGATTTTCACAATTTCACCAGTTTTAATATTCGCTGTAACTAGAGCAATCGCTTGTGCAACTTTACATGCATCAGTTTCAAACTGTCGAAATTTCGGCATATCATCAAATGCTTTTCCATCCGACCACATATGAAAATGGCCAGCAAAAACACCAAAATAATTTAGAGATGTAAATTGACGTAGCAAATGTTCAATACGTAAACGTTTCGACTCGCCAAATGCATATATTTCGCCGGGAATATAAAATGGTGCACGAAACGGCTGATGTTGTAAAAGAACAATCGTTGAAGGCTGTTTTTCAAGTTGTTTTAATTGTTCTTCAAGCCACGAAAATGTACCGCCATTAAAATCATACAGATCTGCACCGGGCATTGATCCTTTATATCCCAGTGAGGCAGCAGCATGATGACGACTGTTCCAATCAAGAGCTATGAACACCTATTATTATTTGTTTTTGTGTTTAAAATAAACTCAAGTTCGAAAAAAAGTAAACGAAAAAGGATATTCACATACATTATTGTGTAGTTGTATACGATAATTTTGAAACCATGATTGGCATGAATGTACAGGATTCCACACTGTGCCATTTGGATAATTGATAATATTTGGTTGATTAAGTATACGGTTAAATGTTTCAGCAAATAGTTGATCGCCAACAGGTGCCTGATCTTCCCATGTTGAATTATATAACCATTGATCATGATTGCCGATTATTGGATAATATGGTACGGTTAGATTATTTAAAACATCACGAACTGTTTCAAATTGAGAAGGCAAAGCTGTATTAGTTAAATCGCCTGTAATAAAAACAGCTTGTAAATTTGTTGATACGTTTGCTGCAAGTTGATTGATTTTAGTTACTGCTGAACGTGCTCTGCCTAATGCATTCGCGCCTGTATCACCAATATGAATATCAGATAGAAGTGCAAATGTATAGAAATCTGTAGTTTGCGATGTAGCATGAGCTTTATCAAGACATAGTACGAAACTAAATAGGATTATATAACGAAGCATTGCTTGAATGACGAATGAATATTTCGAACAAAAAACGAAACAATATTATGAGAATCAAAACATATGGGATTTTTGTTCGAATAAAAATAAATCGTTTTCTTTTTCTACTAGGAAAATAATAATAAAAAACAGAAAAATCTATATGTTGGGATATTTATTTACTAAAAACAGGACAAAGGAAATCTAACATCTAGCATAGATTTCACCGTTATGAATATATAAAAGCAATCGATGGTCAACTGGTAATGAAATAGGTATTGAAATTTGACGACGTCGTGACGATCTTTCATATCGCAATGGTACATCGGTTTTTGCGCTTGGTATTGAGTGCTCATTAACTACTGGCAGTAAATAATGTTGACAATAGGCTCTTTGTAAATCTTCAAAATGTTTGTGATCTTGCCGAGGATCTGTTCTTTGAACTGTCGCTGTTGCTTTAACATGATTATCATCATTACGATTTATGCGGTTAACTTGAACACGAATATTTAGTTTTGAATGATAGGGTAAACTAGCATGAACGCATACGTGTTGCCCGGAATTTTTCACATCAGTTGAATGAGACTGATTATCATAATTTTCATTTCGAGGTGGAGAAATACATTCATCCTCCCAATGTACACTACGTCCGCGAGATTGGCGCTGTCGAGTTTTGTTATGAATCGAAGGCATTGGTATAGCTACCCCGTTGAGATAAACACTGATGCGATGAGAATGATTAATAGATGGCTCAAGTAAATATTCTAAATCACGGTCTTGTTGAAATGATCGATCAAGCAAATTGTTTGACGTATTTTCTCGTTCGAGAATCGACGAACAACGAGATGATGATAATGATGAAACTGGTGGTAAACCGCTATCACGAGAAGATGATGTTGTCGCTAAATATAAATCATTGAATGGCTGCTGAAGAACTTCAATGTCTTGTAGTTGTGATTGTAAATCGTCAAAACATTCTCTGAACCAAAGAAAAATAAACAAATTTTTTTATAACTGAAACATAACTACTCACTCTGAATCAACATAGAAAAAAAAATTCACAATTGTGTAAAACATTTCTTTCCAGTCGTTATTTAACCATATGGTAAAATATGGTGTGTCTCATAAAAAACAACTTATCTTATGATGTTATTCAAATAACATTTCAATGCGAAGAAAGCTATTCAGTTCACTGGGCACAACTGTATAAGTAGTTTAGTACGGATTGGATTACGTTTATGATCCATCGTTCAAATCTCGAAATAGGATATCGTTCAAAATGAATAGCCTTCGATCAATTTAAGTGTGAACTATATTTATTATCATTTGTTCGACTGTGCATGCAGCACCAGAAAAAAATCTTTCTTAATACACATAGAATCATATGGCTGTTTACTCCGAATAAATATATAATACTAATCTCTAAATGAAACAATCTATTGTTTTTTTTTAAATGTTTACTTGAGAATATTATCCTTGCGCCGAAGCTCATCATACCATTGAGACGAATTCATAATTGCTTTGGATCTTAGTGTTAATTGATTTAGATCGTCACTTGTGAACATATATGCACACATATTTCCTTTCGTCTTCTTCGAAATATGAATAGATAGCATATATGAACAATAGACATTTTGTTTTTATTATCGACCTTTTCTTTCTTTCTTTTTCTCTATTGCACACCTGTCGGATATCAATCGAGATGATGAACTCTTTCATACGAATGAGAAGCGATAACAAGTATATAAGCAAAAGGAATCTATGCCGTGAGCAATTAGATATTGTTGAGTATAAATTACATGATTGTACAGACATATGCATGCGTATTGCTCTGATTTATAGAAATAGATATATGTTGCGATACATTATTTTTACGTCTTACCTGTATTAACGATTAAATATTATTATTGTCGTTTTCTTTCTCTTTTCTCGAGTTGCTGCTCTGTAGAATCTGATCGTGTTGCTACTTATACATACTTAATCTATATCGATTCTTTTTTGCGTTCTTTTTCGTTTACGTTATGCATAGTTTTGATCGTAAACTTTTCAATACGACACTTTATTTTGAAATCTATCTGGATGCATTTTCGTCTATGAAATCGAATTACTCTCCTAGAAAAAAATGACGATGATGATGAAAGAACATGCGAACAAATGTTTTTACACCAATTTTTATTACAAGATATGCAGGTGGACCATTTTTTCCCCTGATCATTGAATAGAAAGAAAAAAGAACTACCAATAATTATCGCAATGGATAAAAGAATAAGTTACTGTGTTTCTTTTAGTTGAAAACCTTGAAAAGCATTTTTACTTGCAAGACATCATTTTAACATTGAAGCATTTCAATAAACAGAATGGTGCATGTGCATAAAAGCGTGTTACTAGATCAGACGACTCAATCACAACAACTCGGAATGTTTACATAATAAATAATATGTAGTCTTCATTGACACACATGTGCAAGATGTCCTGTTTACATCGTTTCATAGTGTCAATTAAATTAAATAAGATTGAATAGTATAGAATTATAACTGGTAGAAGCAAAGAGACGATCAAGATCGGGAATAGTTCAGTTACGTCGAATAAATTGCTAGTCGAAAAAAATGTCGTATCAACGATGATCCATAATGGATATAGAATTTTATCTTAACTAACTAATTTAATAGTGAATCGATTCATCGAACACAGTTGAGTTCTTGAAAGGTGGAACGGGGAACGCGTAAGTGGTTCAAATAAAAGATAAGTAAAACCGAATAAACATGTCGACTCCTGAAAACACATTATGCGATGCGCTTCTGTTCGTTGAGAATGAACGGAACGCTTGGGAACGTGGAATTCAACATGCCTAATGCTGACTCCGAATATGAGCACGAGAAATTCCCTTAACTCTTATTCGCCCGCTTTTATAGAAAACTGGTTTTGCATTGAATTAGCTTTTTAATATGTTCAGATTGTAGAGCATGTGGAGTTGTCTATAAAGCAATAGTTTTTCTGTTTCAAAACAGAATTTTGAAGGCAATACAACCTTTTAATTCATGTAGTGTGTGCATGTTAATATTGCAATATAAAAGCGTAAGAAGCTTATGTAATTTCATTGAAAATGTATTTTTTGCGAGTAAACCTACTCTTAGCGATATGCATAGACAATATCCTTTAACTATTAATTAATCATATAGCTGAAGTAGTGATTATTGCGCAATGACACAAAAAACCTCAGCATACTCGATAATGTCTAACTCAATAGCTTATATTTAAAAAGAGATAGAGCAGTTGAGAACGTTCCCTCGCCAGTCAAAGAGAACGAAATTCACTTCGAGCCACATTGCTTATCGATGTCAGTTTTAGCAACAAGAAATCATTAGTGAATGTTACTGCAGACTTATAGCCGCGGTGCACCTTGAAAATGCTATGTTGTCTGTTCCATATTTCTGCTTTTAAAAGAAGTTCAGATTTCTGACAATTATGCTTCGTTAGCTCATCTATATTGCCTTCTTACATCATTGATCATTCGTCTGTTCCACTGTGATGCTCAGGTCAACCCTTCGCTTGTCAATCATCATCACATACGACGACTAAGCAGTTATTAACTCCATTTTTGTGCAACAACATAGAAATCTATAATGTCCCTTATTGAATCATCTAGAGCACGGCAACTGTAATTTTCTCACCGTTTGATGCATATGGGAAAGAATGAGTGGGAAAACGTTTTACAGAGCCTATTAGCTATCCGTAGAAGAGCGAATAAGAAAAATAAAAAGATTATTTTTCTCCGCGTGAGTTCGAACGGAAGCGACCAACACAGAGAGAGACACATCGGTGCCTACATTTTTAGAAAACAAGCAACTCACTCGCGAGAAAAAATGGAATTTTTTCTTCGCGCATTGATTTTCTCTATCTTCAGAGGTTTGCTTTTTGAGAAATGACTTGCTGTGCTAGCCAATGAAATAGAACTTTCAACAAGAAAACTGTTAGAAACAGACGAATGACAGCTTGCGTCATATTAGTTTTTCGCCCCGAAGCAAGAAAGTAAGCTGTATTTAAGAAAACCTGCATTTTTTTGTGCCGTAATTAATTGTAAGTAGGCGATTCCTTGGAATTGCTTTGCAAACTTATTCTTGTAGAATAGATTGACAAATTTTTCTAAATGTTGTTCTTTAGAAAGACAAATCCGGACGTCTCTGTATTCGCCTAATTAATTCGTTTATACGCCTGTCTACAGCACAGATCATTCGTGCTCACCAGTACGGTGCTCCTTATCTGGAATGTACATCAGTAGGTTGTGGATGTAGTTGAATGCAATACTGACATCTGTAGCCACACACTTCGCACACCCTCTACGACAGTGAATAGATATGCCAGATATTTTAGAGAATGGAATACGCTCCAATATCAATGCCTGCATTTTACCGTCAGAATCCACGTCATGCACAACGTTTTCAAATGGCACAATGCTTGGCAAGGATTTCCATTACACTTCAGATACGGAACATCGTCAAATATTCAATCGTCGGCAAGTTAATCTAGAGTCACATCAATTAGTATGGCTCGATCCAGATTTCAACCGGGAAAGTACTTTTAGTATAAAAAGTCTACGAAATATTATTGACTATACGAGAGTGTTTGATAACAGTGAAGATTGTTTAAAATACATCGAAAAAACGCAGGATACAACAACATTTTTAGTTTGCTCAAAAAAATTGGCACCACGCTTTATTCCTGAAATACATCAGCTGCAGCACGTTTTAAGGATTTATGTTGAATCTACATCAGAAAATCAACAACCATGGTTCTCAAACTATCCAAAAGTATAATATAATGCTGGGCTTACCTTTTTTTTGGATGCCACCCTGCGAACCACGATTATATTATCTTCTCTGGCTTTTTATTTAGGTTATAGAAGTCAAGAAAGATACTACTCATCTATTGGATAATTTATCTACAGATGTTTACAAATACCTGAAACATCGGATATTTCTGAGCTTTGATGGATTTAGTAAAATCGAAAAGACAACCGATAACTATGGTAGCAATTGGTGGTATGGTTTTATTCGTCTGCTAGTTGCGTTACCATATCCGAAAGATTCTTGTCATAAACTGGTTGAATTTTTAAGATTTTACTACGACGGAAACATACAACAACTTCGTGTATTATCAGACTTTGAAGCGAATTATAAGTCAAATGAAGCAATATTGTGGTATACACGGCCAACAATTGTTTTTGGCTTATTAAATAAAGCTCTTCGTCAGCATAATATTGAGGTTATGTTTCTCTTTGGATTTTTTGTTCAAGATTTTTATCAGCAGCTGAAAACCGAATTTGAAAATTTTAAATCAACACACTTAGAGCATCATACAATAGTTAAATCTTATCGTGGGCAAGTGATGCACGTAGATGAGATTAAACAGTTAAAAATTGGTCATTACATAACGAATAATAGCTTTTTGTCTACAAGTCTCGATCGTCGTTTAGCATCATTGTTCTTGAATTCATTATTACAGCCTGATGATCAATTTCAAAATGTTTTATTTGAATTTGAAATTGATGATAGACAAGAAATATCGAATTTATTTGCAAATATTTCTTCGCTAAGCTGTTTTCCCGAGGAATTAGAATTACTATTTATGATTGGATGTAAATTCGAGGTACAAGATATTGCATTTAATGAGACTGAAAATTATTGGCTCGTCAAAATGGATTTAGACTACGCTTACCGTTCTCAAGAATATCGATTTAATGAAAGTACTACTCACGCAAATCTTCGAGAAGCATTAAAATTTTGTTCAAGTGCACTTACGAACTGTAGTACTCATGTACCAGTGGAAGATATCAATAAGCTGTTCAATGAATTGGCTGGTTTATTTCCGTCAGTAGAAAAATGGATTTGGGCTATTAAATTATTTTGTTTGGGACTGCGAAAGTACGAAACATCACGAAATAATAGCGAACCAATTTCACACTATAAACAAGCGTTAGATATGTGGAATAATTACATAGACGACGACGAATATAATTGCTTGTTGAATATTGGTGAGATACACAAGGTCATAGCTGTTTGCTTTGAAGCACGACATCCGCAGGACAAAAAGTCTGCTATGATGCATTGCGATTTAGCTATACGTTACATGAAATCAGCGGATGAACAAGTGCATACGGATTATGAAAAAATAGATGTAATGAATCGACTCGCTAATACATATAGCTGCAAAATGCATATTAGTAATAATATAAAAGAGAATGCTCCGATGGTTATGAAATACTTAGAACTGGTTATTCAAAAAATGTTGAAATATTATACAAAAACTGATATTATGATTATTTCGCGTATGGAACGTCTAGCTAAACTTTTCGTTTTAGTGGATAAATACGATGATGCTTTGACAAATTATAAGACTGTGCTTGAAGTGTACCGACAACAAACAAAACCACCTTTAGAGTGGATCGAAGGTGTTTGTGAAAGTGTGGCTAATATCTATGTCAAACATAAATATAATTATGAGTCAGGACTTCACTATCAATTAATCAGGCATGAGTATGCATTGAAGTCTCAAGCAATGTATCGAAGTGATGATATTAATGATATTAATAGTAAAAAACACCAAATAGCGTTGAGCTATGAAAAGTTATCGGTCATTTACATTAAGCTACGCCAGTATAATTTAGCAAATACAAATTTATCTCTAGCTGTGAAATTGTATGAAGAAATACTAGAATCAGCAGATTTATTTGGTACGGTGCACCGAATTGCAGAAACTAAAGTGGCATTAGCAGACATTGCCATGAATTTGCATCAATACGGCTTGGCATCTGAGCATTTGCACAGTGTCATGCGATTGTGTGAAGGAAGACCGAAATTCTACGATGAAAAGAGCAAAGTTGCTGATATGGATATCAAATTATCAAATCTCTATGCAGAATTACAGGAGAATAATATGGCCGATCAGCATTTAACAAGAGCGCTCAATACCTATCGAGCAATGAGTGATTCGCAATTTGCATGTAGAGCGAGAGTTAGAACAGTTAGCAACGGTCGTATACAACGGCAGAAACGTTCGCTGACGATTATTTATCTAAAAAAATGCAATCGGATACGATCGAACCTCGTCGTATTTCTTGATTCGAAGATCAAGACTATATCTCATCGCGTTATATACAACGAAATACGATTCATATGTAGTTGCCATCGATGATTATTTCTTATTGCATGCGACTTCCTGGATCACGGATTCTTTTCCTTTTCCAAATCTTAGTCTATACATATCCGTTTAATGTGAAGCCTCTTTGTTGTTGACTTCTTAGGGTTTTGGTACGGGTCTTCTCTAAATGCATAAACAGACCAAGACACAGACTTATATATAGATTCACATCCACCCACACCCTCTAATATCTAATACACATGGACGAGTAACAATGCTTTCGGGAAGAGACACTAGAAAAACGAATGCGATCGGTGGTAATTACTATGATTATACACGGGCCGATACAATGGTACCTATAACACGTATTGCAAGTATGTATTTACCGCCAGGAACTTACACGTTTAATGTTGCAGTACGATCTTCTTTCGGATTCGGTAGACTGGTTCGTAGCACAGTCACATATGAAATAATACAGTTTGATAACAGCAACAATACAGAGGATTTGGGTGATTTTAAATTAACATCTTTTCCAAAGTAATACTTTCTATTGATCACAGCCCATTAGCATAGAGTAATTAGAAAATATTTACTCTGTAAAATGCTTCTGACATTAGGAGCTTTGATCGAATTATTAATATATAGTGCTAATAAAACTATAAAAACAAAAGTGTGTTGCATATGCTGAAGGTTTTCTCACGTTTCTGTTTAGTCTTTGAACTAATCAAATACTAATGCATACCCATTCAAATATGCTTTATCCGAATATGGATTCCGGATTTCTCTGCGTCGGTTTATTTTTCTTATCGGACAATCAACTTTATGCGGCAGCTATCTGCAAAATTTCATCGATAGAAAGTGTATTCATTCAACTGTGATTTTGTTGACAAAGTCAGGTGATAGTAAAGAAAGAGAAACAGGTGTTTGCGTACATTGGCATCCTTTGCTTCCTCTAAAAGATTGATATTGCTCTGGATTTACTGTGAAAACACCGAAAGAAAAAAATGTCGAAGAAAAAAACATCGAAATGATATTTTTTTTCATTCGACGTTGTTTTATTTCGATATTTTTTTCTTTCTGTGTTTTCACAGTTAATCAAAATACTGCCCTACTTTTGTTATTCTAATATTCACATATTTCTATCATGGTTGAAGTCACCAATCAGAACAGAAAATGGAACTGATCCGTAACCCATTGAAATCAGAGTCATACTTAAAAAAGTACCATCGCCATATCCGAGGAATGTTCCTAAACTATTGCTACCTTGATTAACGACAACAATGTCAAGCGTGGTATCGTTGTTAAAATCGACAACAGCTACAAAGTACGGATATGAGTCGCGTTCTGTTGAATAGGTTGTTTGATTTGCAAATGAACCATTGCCATATCCCAGAAAAATACTTATATTTCCCGAAGCAGAATTAGCAACCACAATATCAAGTCGAGTATCGTTGTTGAAATCAGCGACAGTTATGGAGAATGAAGAAGAGTCAGTTGAATACCTGATTTCATTTACAAACGAGTCATTGCCATCATAATTGGCAAGAACGATATCTACTCGAGTATTGTGTTATTCAAATCCCCAACGGCTATGGAGGAGGAAGAAAAACCAATGTAATATGTAATTTTATTAGCAAAGGAATCATTGCCATATCCAAGAAGGACACTGATTTCATTGCTCATATAATTAATGGCAACGATATCCAGTCGAGTATCTTTGTTAGAATCACCAACAACCACAGCTCTTCCATCGGAACCAGTTGAATATGTAATTTGATTTGCAAATGAGCCGTTACCATATCCAAAAAGGATACTCACATCATTGCTAAGCATATTCGTGACAACGATATCCAGTTGAGTGTCGCCGTTGAAATCACCAACAACCAGAGAGTATAAAGAAGAGCCATTTGAATATCTGATACACAATTAAATCTATTTTTTCTCTTCTGTTTTTTATTTATCATATGCACAATTCCTCATTTTTGTGATTATCTCCTGACAATGATGAGGGGAATCATCGCAGACATGAAATAAAAAAAACGTTCTAAATTGCAAAACATTCTCATCTATTTCATAGCAGTTATCTATTCAATTATATTAGTTAGTGTAAGCATTGAAAGGTTCCTTCCATTTGATTATTACTGGCATCCCACCAAGCATTTTAGAAAAAAAGAGGAAAAAAGAGGATTGTTTTTCAGCCTTCGACCCTACAAGAAATATTCGTGTGGAAACAAAAATGACGTGCAGTCGACAACCTATCGGTTCTATTTAATATCTACTTAGAAAGATGCATTTTGTCAAAGAACCCTTTAGTAGTTCACATATAGTTTTATTTCATTTCATATGTACATGATACTAAACAATAAAATCACAAAAAATGGCAACAAAAAGAAACGTTTCAAAACCATAAACTACTACAATTAATCTTATTAAATTTAAACAAATAAAAATATTTTTTTGAAAACTGATCACTCGCTTGTTGCTGTCATCTTTTGCTTTTTGTTTTGTACGTGAGAAAGAACATTTTTTCTTTTACTTTGAATTTTCAATAATTCGTCGGTTATTTTGAAAAGTTTATCTGAAATTAATTTAACTTGTTCATCACCAGCTCCAATCAACGCATTTGCAGCTTGTGCATCAATAATATCCGCTTTTTTCAAAGCATTATCAAGCCGTTGTCGACCTTCATCCACCAACAATTGTGCTTTCTTTTGTTTATCGTGTAAACCCTTTTGCTTCGACAACAACTGATTTTCTCGATCGATTAATTTTTTCATTTCTTCATTGGTACGCTGATGTTTTTCACTTTGTTCTTTCTCACGATCAGCAAGAGATTTCAATGATAATTGTTCTTGATTATAAACCGATTTCGATTTTTGTACAGCACGAATCATATCAATCTTAATGGGTACTCGATGTGGCGAACCTACACCATAAAATTTTATTGCATCCCATGTTGAACGAAGGCCATTAATAGAAGATAATGACAACAATGTTCTGTTTTCTGTAACAATATGTTCATTAATACTAAAGCCACGCTCAACGTCCGAATTTCCATGCGATATAATGAAAATATTTTTAACGACTTTAGACAATGTTGGATACTTCGGTAATCCAAAACTAGTTGTCAATGATAATGTCTTGTTCCAATAATAATCAATTTGTTGATATTCTGTATGATTATTATCATCTGAATCGTGATATTTA